TATAATTGAGATCATCTTCTATAAAACTTTGTCATCCCCACCTATACTTGAAATTATTTTTAATGAAAAATTGTATAATCAAAATAATGCTCCTTTATTGAATCTAAGAGATAGTGTAAGATTAAACTTACCTATGTATATTGATGATTAACAATAAAAATCTGCTTTAATATTAAAAAATATTGGAAAAGGTATTATTAATTCTATGGGCACAGCTAGTATTTTATTGTTACTTCTTGGAGACTCATTCCTTTTAAGAGGTGTTATTGAAATATTATAATAATAATCATATCTAAGATTCATTAATGTTGTATTTCCACTTAATTTATTTATTTATTTTGAGACAAGCAGTTTAATAACTGTCTAACCTATTTTAGAATTTTTTAATTTTAATTCATATCCATTTCAAATAATAGATGTGCCTTTTACTGAATCATATCAAAAATTTTAGTTCTATGGAATTAATGCTAATATTTTTAATAACTTATAAACTTAAATTTTTTTTAGTTTAGCATTTCTATTTACTTATTTTGCTTGCTACTTTTTGATTAAATTTTTTAGAAACTTAGACGATAAATATTTTTTTTGTTTTGGATTAAGTTTATCTAAATTATTTGTGAAGATTTAGAAAAAATGTTTTTAAATAAAAAGATAAGTTGAAAAGTAAGGTTTAAGAGAATTTTTAATATCTAATTGTTGGGATTTAATATTTATGTCTTTTTTATAAATTCAATCTTAATCTTTTACTTCTGCAAGATCTATCATTTCAGATATTTTAGCTTATCTAATTTTATATATTTGTGTGATTATAATATCCTCTCATTTTGTTAAAAAAAGTAAAGCAACAACAATCTCCAAATATTGGCTAAAAAAATTTGATTTATTTTTAATCTTAAAAAAATTATTATTTGCAGGGGTTTTAGTTTTATTTTAAAAAAACTAACAAATTTAATCACTATTACTAACACTTATTTGTTCTCTTTATCTAATTTACATAATCTTTATAAAATAATAAAAAAATAGAATAGAATATATTAATCTCTTAATGATGGAAATCAGTGTTTTTATTTTTTGTTTAACAGTTACATTTTATTGGAATGAAATCAGAAAATGCATTGACTATGATGATTAAGTCACTTTCGGTTGGTTTCACATAACAATCTTGTTATCTGTTTTAATTACCAATTTAGGACTTTAGTTATATGCTTTTTTTAGAATAATTAAAAAAGTTATTGTGAAAAAAATGTTAAAAATGTAAAATGAAAGAGAAAGCTAAGGTAAGGATCCAAAACCTTTATAAAATGCGTGATGCAATTCAAAATTTGATTTTATTTTTAATATTTGCATTTCTTGTACTTTAAAATATTTATTAATTATATTTGTTTTTTTAGTCATTTATTTATGACGAAATTTGCAAATCGAAATAATTTCATTCTAACTCTTAATTACTAAAATAATAATCTTACTTTAATAGTTGTTTTATTAACACTTAATCTATTTATATATTTTATTTGAGTCAAACAGATTAATAAAATGAGAGTTTTTTTTATTTATAACAGTTTAACATTTATTATAATTTTAATTCATTTAATCGAAATATACAAATAAATTTATTTAGAATAATATGAAAATTGAATTACTATTTTTTTAAATAACGCTAATTTTTATTCTTAAAATAAGAATAATTAGGAAAAAAATGTTGATCCATAATTTTTATTGATAAAATGCTAAAATTTACTCCATATCATTTTTTAAATCTGTTAATAAACATTTAATACCTGATATTTGTAGTTTTGAAATTTTTAATGTTATTTTTCAATATTATAAAAATTAAATTGGAACTATAAAAATTAAAGAATACTATGAAATCCAAACATTTAATTTTAATTAAGTAGATTTTTTTTAAATTCTAGGATAAAAACTTTGGTATTAAAATATATTTTTAAATTCTATAAGCACTTTTTAAGAAAATTAAAATAAAAATATGGAAATTAAATTAAATTTTATTATACAATAAAGATTAACAACTATTTAGTGTTTATTTACGGCCTGCAGAGGATTTAAAAATATTAATTAAAAGGATTTAGAAAACTTAGATCAATAATAATAATATATAGGAATAAATATAATTTATATCATTCCTTGATATTCCAAATACGGAATAAAGCAAATCCACTTAAGGCAACAACAAGTAATAAGATAATATCTTCAAATAAGGCTAAAACACCACAAAATGGGAGACTAAAACTATTATAAATAATGTACTAATCGAAAAGGTATGATAATGTTATAAATCCATTAAAACCTAGTATATCTACAATTGAAAATGTTATCCAACACATTATCAATAATATTTAGATCCATTTGTACAAAACTAATAAATATGGATCTGAAGCAACACCTTTATATCCTCGATAAAAAATAAAACTCTAACTATGCAGAATATTTTACAATTAAATTGGATTGAAGGAAAACAAAAACATAAAACTATACAATATTCGTATTCCATCATTTCCATATCCAGTTTGAATGCTATTATCAATTATATTTAAGAGTGTGTATACAGCTATGAGAATACTTGACAACCATAATGATCTTACCACTAATCTATATTCTGGCTACACTTCTTCAATATTGTAATGAATAACTTTTATTAAAGGTGGATAGTTAAAATCATCCCAATCTATATTTTATTTCGAGTCTTTTTGATTAGATTTCAATTATCTTATGGAATCATTAAGGACCGATTTAGCAACATAAGAAGCCATATTAATTTATTATTATTATTATTATTATTTTTCAAGAATTCATCATCAATATATTATAATTATCTCACTTCTGCATGATTTCATCATTTTTCATAATTGAACTAATTTATATTTAATTAATTCAAAGAGATATAATTAATAGATTCAAAATATAAGGCTAGGTCAATTTGGTTACAGTTATGAAGTTAGATATAATATCATTAAATGAATCATTATAGAGAGTCAAATAGTAGAACTAAAGAATTTAATTTTATTATGCAAAAATTCAACTTGGAAGGCTATTTCTAAATTAATTGAATAATAAATATACAAATTTTTTAAGAATTTTTAACATTTTTCAAAACGCTAAAACTAGAATGAAATATTAAGGTCAAAAATAAATAGTTTTTAGAAGAAGAGGACTTTCAATTGATGATTTCTCTAATTTCATTTGATTAACGAAATAACTATATAAAAAGGAATATTAAAATGAAAGTATAAACAAACTAGTTTAAGGATTCTTATTAGAAGTTTAATTAAAATAAATAAAAAGTTTCGAGTTATTATTATAAATATAAAACACAATTAATTTTACCTTGTTAAANATAAATATAATTTATATCATTCCTTGATATTCCAAATACGGAATAAAGCAAATCCACTTAAGGCAACAACAAGTAATAAGATAATATCTTCAAATAAGGCTAAAACACCACAAAATGGGAGACTAAAACTATTATAAATAATGTACTAATCGAAAAGGTATGATAATGTTATAAATCCATTAAAACCTAGTATATCTACAATTGAAAATGTTATCCAACACATTATCAATAATATTTAGATCCATTTGTACAAAACTAATAAATATGGATCTGAAGCAACACCTTTATATCCTCGATAAAAAATAAAACTCTAACTATGCAGAATATTTTACAATTAAATTGGATTGAAGGAAAACAAAAACATAAAACTATACAATATTCGTATTCCATCATTTCCATATCCAGTTTGAATGCTATTATCAATTATATTTAAGAGTGTGTATACAGCTATGAGAATACTTGACAACCATAATGATCTTACCACTAATCTATATTCTGGCTACACTTCTTCAATATTGTAATGAATAACTTTTATTAAAGGTGGATAGTTAAAATCATCCCAATCTATATTTTATTTCGAGTCTTTTTGATTAGATTTCAATTATCTTATGGAATCATTAAGGACCGATTTAGCAACATAAGAAGCCATATTAATTTATTATTATTATTATTATTATTTTTCAAGAATTCATCATCAATATATTATAATTATCTCACTTCTGCATGATTTCATCATTTTTCATAATTGAACTAATTTATATTTAATTAATTCAAAGAGATATAATTAATAGATTCAAAATATAAGGCTAGGTCAATTTGGTTACAGTTATGAAGTTAGATATAATATCATTAAATGAATCATTATAGAGAGTCAAATAGTAGAACTAAAGAATTTAATTTTATTATGCAAAAATTCAACTTGGAAGGCTATTTCTAAATTAATTGAATAATAAATATACAAATTTTTTAAGAATTTTTAACATTTTTCAAAACGCTAAAACTAGAATGAAATATTAAGGTCAAAAATAAATAGTTTTTAGAAGAAGAGGACTTTCAATTGATGATTTCTCTAATTTCATTTGATTAACGAAATAACTATATAAAAAGGAATATTAAAATGAAAGTATAAACAAACTAGTTTAAGGATTCTTATTAGAAGTTTAATTAAAATAAATAAAAAGTTTCGAGTTATTATTATAAATATAAAACACAATTAATTTTACCTTGTTAAATTAAGGATGATTGATAGTAAATTAAAATAATATTAAATAATTTTTGAGTATAATGAATTGTAGTATTGCATCCATTTAATTTAAAATTATTATAATTTATTTATTATATAATATGAATGCAACATCTGAGATTCCATGTAAATACTTTTCCAAAAATGCTTGCAGTAAAGGAGATTAATGTAGATTCTTACATGACCCAAGCTTAATTTAAAATATTAATTTAGAAGAAAATAGTGATGAAAAATAATAAAATAAAAAAAATTATGGATTTGAAAATTATAAAAAGCCTATTTATAATTAGAAAGAACAAACGTTTGAAGATTAAGATTCTAAAAGTGATAAAATAAGCAAGAAAGATTCAAAATTTAAGTTAAATTTAAAAAAAAAAAATGATAATTTTTAATACAATAACTAAATGAAATAAAATGAGAGATCTTAAATACATAATAATGAGAAATGTAACAAATATAAAATAAGTCATAGAATCATAAAATGATTTTAGAGATTCAAAATAAAAATAGAAAAATAATGTTAATTCTGATAGATGGGAGAGAAATTAAGAAAATGATGAAGATAAATAAGATTTCAAAAATAATTATACAAGAGGAAGAGGAAATTTATAATTTTAAGATTATAGAAATGATCAAGTAAATTTTAGGAGAGGATTTAATCGATAAGAATAAAGAGGATTCTAAAATTATGATGCTCGTAAAGATGATTTTCAAGATGAGGAACATATGTAAAATATACAAAAAAGAATTAAAAAGAATGTTGTAGTTGCTAAGAAAATATTAAAATTAGAGTAAAGTATAGAAATATATGAAATTGTTAAGATAATTGGATTTTACAATTAATAATTAATTATTTTGAAAGCAAATCAAATTGAATTTTATAATATTCCATTTAAAAGAAACGGAACTGATATTTTAGATGATAGTCTAAAAACAAGTTTAGATCATTGGGATAAGATTTTATTAAATGGTTGGATTTAAGAATAATCAGATGGCAGATTTAATTTAATAGTTGAATTTATAAGAAAAAGTGAAAAGATCAAAAATTTACTTATTTATCCTATTTTGTTTTAATAGGAATCACATATTCTTATAAATGAAGTAACAATAAAAAATATAGTATTTGCTGAAAAAGAATAAGATCTTATTTTAACATTTTGTTAAGATGGTTTGATAAGGATATTTTAATATTGCGAAGATTAATATAAATTCATGTAGCATTACAATTTAGATTAAACAATAGAAACAGTTATAAAAGTGGGAAGCAATTATTTAATTGGAACAAGAAAATAAAAAATATTTATATTTGATGGATTAGAAATTCAGTCAATCTAATACTAATTCGATAAAATTTGCACACAAATGGTTATTGATTTTAATAGAGTGATATTAAAGTTTGATAATGAAACTGAATCTTCAATATACATTTTAACATAAAATCTAAAAGTAAATGGACCTATGTATAATGGATCAAAGATCGATTGCTTAGATATAATTAGGAGTTATGAAAATGAAAAATTATTTATTTTCAGCATTGAGAATTCAGTAGAGACATTTATAGAAATTGACAATAAGTTATAAATCTTTGATAAGCTTTAGAATTAAAACATCAAAAATATCTAAAAGTTTGAGATGAAAAATTAAAATATGTTGATTTAAAAATATATAGTAGGGAATAATAATTTAAATCTTAAATTATATAGTATTATCCCTGAAGAATGAATAATATCTTATTTGTTAAGAAAATTATATATTTTTTTAAATTTAATTTTAATTATTATAAAAATTTATTTTTAAATTAATTCTCATAGATTATTTAAATTGTATTATTTAGATAGAGATTTAATTTATAAAATCTAATGATTTATAACAAAAAAGATCATTTGGAGTAAAAATTGTTTTAAACATTGATAAAAAAATTATATACAAAAACATTGTCATATGAAATACACAATTGTCATTTATTCTATTTAGATAATAACTTGTGATTCATTTAATTTTGAATATTAATACATATATATCATAAATGAAAAATTTTTACGATATAGTGGAATAGTATGAGAAAAATATGAAGGAAAAATGTTCTGAAATAGAATAATAGGCTAAATAAAAAGTCATTTAGAAAGCCAACGAAAATACAATTATAAATTAGGATAATTAGGTAAATGAATTAGAAGAATAATTAATAACTTATAAGAATGTTGAATCAAATTGTAGAGGAAACTTTCTATTATTTTGTGTACGATAATGTGGGTCTCATAATTCAAAGAAAATATTATTGAATTTAAGTAGTTAACTTTCATTTTATTTAACCTTTGTTTATATAAAAAGGCGAGATTCAAATAATTCTTAATTCTATCGTGGTTGTGAGCTATTGGAATACATTGGAGGAGGGTGATTAATAGATAAATCAATTATAATAATTAGATGTGAGTTAATAAATAAATTTGAATAAATTAAGAACATATATTTCAATAATTGATAAAAAGGATTTTTTCATTAATAAATTCTAAAGGTAGCATCACTACCACAGCTTATAATCATTTTGCTATTAAAATCAAAAGCAACATCTTAGACAGCATCTTCATGTCCTTTGAGTGTATGTTCTTACTAAAAAATAATAAAAATATAAGAGAACCTTTTGAGTAGTTTCATTGTATAGTCTAATTTATTAATCATCAGATCCAACAAGCAAAATAGTTCCACTTTTATCTAATGCAATAGAATTAGCAGAATAAGGTCCAGCATCAAATTATGATCTACCTTTAACCATTCTGACATCCCACATTTTAATAATTCCATCAGCATCACAACTAGCAATACTATCACCTTTTAAAGAGAAGGTAGCATGATTTACACTATTTAAATGACCATAAAAAGTTTAAACACATAATCCACTTCTAATATCCCAAAGAGAAATAGTTTTATCTGCGGAAGCCGATGTAAAAACATTAGAAAAAGGTTAAAAACTAACATGATTAACTGAATCAACCTAAATATATTTATAATTATTATATACATGTCCTCTAAATGTATGTCTAGTTTTACCTGAAGCTAAATCAAATACTTTGCATGTATGATCCATACTTGCACTTACTATAAATTCACCAGTATCATTAAATTTAACACCCCATACTGGTTATATATGATCTTTAAAAGTATGATTACAAGATGCATTAATGAAATCCCAAACTTTAATAGTACAATCGCCAGATGAAGTAACAAGATGACTTCCTTTTGGATGAAAATGTATTCCACTTACCCAATCTTTATGACCTTCTCCTGACATTATTAATTCACCTTATGGTAATGTCCATATTTTCCAAGTGAAATCATCAGATGCTGTTGCTACTATCGATTTCTTAGGATGCATATCCATTGATGATATTGCCATCATATGACCCTTATATGTTTTATTTAATATAGCATTCCTATAATTTTAAGGTTCTATTTATGTCCCTGCATAAGGATTCGGACGATCATCCTATGGAAATGGAGTATTTGCTATTTTTGTTTAACCTTTTTTTGTATTTGCTTTAGTATCTAATAATGGTAATTTATCGGTTGGACTACCTGGTTCTTTTTCCTTATTTATCTTCTCTTCCACCTAAATATTATTAAATTGATTTCATTACATTTTATAAACTTCTTTGAAGAGCATCATTCTTTGCAATCAATCTATCTCTCTCTAATTTTAATAACATCTTTTCTTTCATTGCATGAGAATATTTTTATGATAATTCTTCATATTTTGTTTCATATTCAAGATGTAATCCTTTTAATTTATCTATATCATGATTCAGTTTCCTCTTCTCTTATTAAACTCTATGATGATGCATTTTATGAAAATCTCGCTCTTTTCTTAATTTATCATATGTTGATTTAGCATTCTCTGCTACTATCTTTGCCTTATCAAGTTCTCCCTTCAAATATTTTAGTTCTTCTTTTAATTTCTCATTTTATATATAAACATCTGGCACCCATCCCATTCCATCTGTTGCCAACTTACCTTTCTAAGAAAGTTCATACCATTCTTACTATTTAATTCTCTATATTTTTATACTTAAAACACTTCCAAACTTTTATTCATTTAATTTTTTATCAAGAAGTTACGTATAAAATCATCAACCACTTCTGGCCGATCTACTACTTTTTTAGTTATTTCAGCTTAAATAGGTTTTTCAACCTTTGGAAAATGACTCTCCTCTAATTTTATTTAAGATACAAACTTACTTTTAACATCTGTAACAATCTTATCTAAATCATCCAAATTATCTTCCTAATGTTCAATATCCTCTAATTCCTCCAGATCCTCTAGTTCTTCAGGCTCACTTTCACTACTCATCTCGATTGCTATTATCTATTTATAGCTTACGAGTTATATAATAAATCTCTTCACTTTTGCTCATTATTTAATTAATGAATCAATCTCTTATCTAAATTAAACACTAAAGAAAAGTTTAATCAGATCATAAAAAATTATCAAAACCATTACCTTCTAATGGATTTAAAAGGAATTCCACACTTGTTTAAGATCGATCAGTATTCTAAAATGAAAGAATAAACAAAAACCTCAGAAATCAGACTAATACTTTTGGTGAGTCCAGTTGCTATTGTGATAATTGTGGTAAAAGATCTTCTAATATGAAGAAAATATTTTAGCTTTATCGATTTCCTTAAACTAAGTATCTTTTTTTTAGAAATAAATAGCTAATGGAGAAAACAAAAACAATATCGTAGATTTAGAAGACTAATAAATTGTGTAATCTTTATTATCAGATACAGAATTGTGAAGAGAATTAAAACGAAAAAGAAATTCACTATTAAAAAGGTATTAACTAAATAAACTGTCAATGAATAATAATAAAAAGCATCAACTATTTAGAATGCAATTTAGGAACTGAAGTAAATAACTAGAGTGGATTCAAGTCAATAATCAAAGAGAATGAAAACGAAAAGTAAAGATTAAAAGAATTCATACTCTTCGTTACTTAAAGGTAGAAGGAATTTAAGATAATTATTTGTTATTCCATAATTTGAGAGTCCAATCAAATAATTTATAATAAAATATTCGAAACCTAATACTGTTCATAACTCTCCGATGTAATCATTATATGATTTCAAAATTTCCTCTTCTTTTAGAGGAGTATGATTATATTTTAATAAAAATTGAGTTTTTACTAAGTTTATCATGTATGTTTAAAGTAAAATGAAGAGATTGAAGATAATAGAATAAGAATGAATCTGTATTAGTAAAAAAGATATAAAACTTGATCAGTTGATTTAGATTATAAAATTATTAATAAATTTATGTAAGTACTTTAACCAATTAACGATCAATAATAGCCTGTAAAAATAACATCAGAATACCAATTTAAAGAGGCTCCATTAAGTAGATGTATATATCATCCTCAATATATCCGTCATTTTTGTAAGGAGTCATCTTGTTTAATGCCATTGTGTTAAGATTGTATTTAGGTACATCCTCATTAACATTCTCGATATAGTATATATTAGGATATTAATATTTTAGTTGATTCAATAGAGAATACATTGACATAAGTTTATAAAGGATATGCGAGTAGAGCAAATGAGATAGCTACTCATTAAACAGGAGATATTTTATAAATTAGATAAGACTTACACAGATTAATAGATACGATAGTAGATGATGTATTGAATAAGGCAGATAAGAATTACTAATATGATTTAATATTGTAATGGAGAAATTTGATTAAGAAATTGGAAAGATTAAAAGATCCAAATAATTGTTTGAAGGAAACAATATTATATTTTGCAGATCAAGATAATTAGAATCCTCAATTAAAATATTAAGGCATTCCAATATAAATGAATTATGAAGCATTGGAATAAGCAAAGTTTCATCTTCATCATTTATTTATGGTGACTTTAGAGGATGGAGAATACTTTTTTAGACCAGGTGAAAGAACTGGAGATAATCCAATAAGAAGAGTATCGAGAATGATATATGATCCCGTTTTACCTACTCATTCAGATTATCAACCATATAATTATAGTCCATAAAGAATGATGATTACATAACCTGTATAGCCATAACAAATAGTTTATCAAACTTAAGTTAATACTACTCCTAATCCACTTTAGACTTAATAATAACCAATAGTATAAATAGTACCTTAAGTTTAACCTTATTAATATATTCAACCTTAAGTATAAACTTTACCAATTACACCACCATAACCTTAATCTTAGCCATAACCTATTATTATTAGCAAAGCAGAACCTCCTTAACCTTTAGTTTATTATTAAGAAAGTCCAATAAAAATGGTATCTCCTAAATAAGAACCATAAATTACTGTGACTCAACCTGCAATATAATAATCAATACCATAACCATAAATTATTTAATATGTTTAACCTCTAGTTAGAGCACCATAATAAACTGTACCTACTGTTTATACAGTCTCAGCTACTAAACCATTTGCTCCTTTATAAGTAAAACTTTATTAATAAATCATAGCAGAGTGGAGAATACTCCCATCCTTATCCATTAATACAGTAATGATGTTATATTATCAGAATGTTATTGATATTAACTCAATTTTCATGATTAAATTTTCATTGTTTGGAATTATTCCAATTAAACATTCTCTAATTAACCAACATTCCTCCTTTCACTTTTCCCATCTATTTTCATTTTATAAAGTATTTCTTATAAACCAAAAATAACGCCATTGACTTCTATTTGAAACTCAAATAAACATCCATCAACTTTTGTTATCTTGATCTTTTCTCCATTCGCTCTCTTTAATAGAAGGATTTATTTTATTAGAAAACTTCAAAATGAATACTTAAATCATTTCCTTTTTTTAGAATAAGTAATCTCTTAAGGTTTTTCCATTTTATTAATAAATATATTATTAAGTAGAGACCATAATAATTTTAGAATTTAGTTCAGACATTATTTATATATGAATAACTATTAAGTAGTTTAGTATGTAAGATTTGAATCATGAGGATCAAGAATTCAAAAATAATATATGCATACAGGTTAATTACAAAGTCTAAGTAATGAGTAGGGTTCGATTATTAATGAGAAATGATTGATGTTTTATGATTTTGGATGTATATTGAAATATTAATCACTATTTATTATTTGTTTTGATGAGAAGATTGCTTTTGTTCATAAATTTGTATATCACAATAGAGTTATTGATTTGTAAGGATGACATGGGACTAACAATACAAATTGACAAGTCTCTTCTGATACCACCATACAATTGTACTTTGAATATAAGGAATGAAAAATTAATGAATATGACATCTTTAGGTGGCTAACTTCTAGTGATAGGAACAGAATTACTATTGAGTTAAACAGTTACGTTAGTTGGATTCAAGGTTGTTGAATTCTAAAACATGACTATAGACACTTTAACAGATTCTATAAACATCATAGGTACAGCTATGCTACAGAATGTCACTCTCTAAAGAAATTATCAAATATTAAGTACTAAAATGAAGATTTATTAGTCGAAAATAATAGGAATGACATTCTAAAATAGAACAGTCTTTCAATATCCAATTGATGTTGATGGATTGCTTATATCAGATTGCACTTTTTTTAGAAGTTAACTAAGTTCATAAATGATATATTTAAGAAACGTTGTAGTTGATTAAGTGAGTTTCATCAATTCCACTTTATCACCTTAAACTTAAGTGAACATATTAACACTCAATAATTCATTTTTGGTTTAAAGCATTTTGATTGAAACAAATATTTCATAACAAATTACTATTCAAAATACCTATTTGACTCTCTCTACAGCTATTTTAGCTAAGGGAGTACTCTATACTACAATCCTCAATGTGACTTTATCTTAAAGCATTTTGATACTTCTACAAAATGAAAACTAAATCAAGCTTTCTAGCTTAAATATTCAACGAGTAATATCAGATTCATAATTGATAATTGCCTAAAGTTAATATGTCTCCATACATAATAGTACCATTAGTGAAATTGAGAGCAAAGCGTTATTCTCTATAGATAGTCACAATATCTTTCTGTAGGAAATCACCATATCCTCTTTAATTGGATCATTATTAATCTCTACAACTAATCAAACTAATGTCATACTCAATTATTTCACTATTTAAAATAGTTAAACCAGATTTCTATTTTAAATTAATGGAGCCTTAACACTTTCTAAAGGTAATTTCAACTCATTATTTGGCTTAATCATTTATTCTTCAACTATTACAGAATTAACCATTGATTAAATTGATTTTTAATTAATCAATAAGTCTATTCTAATCAATCTAAATGAAGCCTCTCTTGCTTAATTGACAAATATTATCATTCAAAATTGCTCTTCTATTTAAATTGCTAAACTCTAAAATGTTATCTCTGTAATGATTAGAAATCTTACTATTGTTAATTGTAATGAATGTAATTTTTTGACTTTGAATGCATCTTAAGCAGATCTTATTCACATCAAAATATTTCAAACTAGCAACTTTCTAAACCCATTAATTTATGCATAAGAAACAGATATAAATATTAAAGGAATGTATTTGAATTCTATCTCTCATAACAATAAAGATTTCATTAAAATTAAAAATTCTAAAAAATTGATATTCAATGATCTACAATTCATAAATATAAATTGTCCATATTGTCCTGGAATTTTAATGATTAATTAGAGTGATTAAATTGAAATATCAAAATCAATATTTAAAAATACATAATCCCTTTCAGGTTATATAAACGTCTAAGAATCATAGAATTTTTTAGCCAACAATAATACCTTTTAAAATATTTCAACTAATCTAGGATCTGCTTATGTATTATAAAATGTAGCATTAAAAATTTATGAAAATCAATTTATAGACCTAATATCTTCAGAAGGAGGTGTAATCTTTTTGAATTAAACTTAAGGATTACCTACTTACATTTAATAAAACCTATATGAAAATTGTTCAATGAAAACAAACAAGTAAATTTTTCTAATAACTGATTAAATACTGGAACCTGATATTTTAACTTATGTGGCTGGACCAGTTTATTTAGTAATAAAAAATGAAACTTATTTATTTGATGATTTGATTAAAAAAAAGAAAATAATTCACATAGAAAAGTATAAGAGTGGATAATAATTAGACTTTAAAATAGAAATTTTAGATGGAGGATAGAATAGAATTTGTAATCTTAAGGATTACTTAACAATATAATAGAATATATTTCAATTCAATCAATTATAATGCTAATATGAAGTAAAATATGCTTATTTTTAATAATTTCCAAAAAATGAGATAATTTAAGTTCTACTTGAATTTAAATCATTAAAATTTTATAATGATACATATAAATTACCAATATTTTTGAATTTGATTTAATGTGAGATTGGTGAAGAATGGGAGAATTAATCATGTCTGAAATGTCCAGCTGGATCCTACAGTTTAAACAATTTTACTCCTTGTTAATAATGTATAACTTCAATAGAATAATGTCCTGGAGGATCAGAATTAATAATTAAATAAGGATATTGGAGAGCTAATAAAAGTACTGATAGTATTGAATATTGTTAATTATCATTTGCTTAATGTTTGGGAGGATCGGATGAATTTACATGTAGTAAAGGTTATACAGGAGCTTTATGTAATGATTGTGATTATTATGGAAAACATTGGAATAATTCTTATACTCGTAATTTAGGTGGTAATTGTACTATTTGTGAAAATGACATATTTAATATATTCAAGATTATTTTCTCTTTTTCTTGGATACTTATTGCTTTATTTATATCTATAAGAGGTAGTTTAAGATTAGTTAGAGCATAATTATCAGCACATTATTTGAGAATGATGGGTATATTTTTTGCAACTAGATCTACTATGATAATTGATTAAACTGAAATTTTAATTAAACTTTTTTCTAGTTACTTTCAATTGATTTCAATTGTTTAAGTTATTGATTTTGATTTTCCTACACCTATAGAAGTCATAGCTTAAGCTATTGGTAATCCTTTATCAACTCTTGGCTATTCTATTGAATGCTTTCTATTAAATTCACAACTTTCAATTGACATTGTATATTTGAGACAATTCTGGAATTTGTTTGTATCCCTATTGTTTGTTTTTTCCTTTGTATTTATATACTCTCTCATTCAATTATGCAAATCAAGATAAATGGAGAATTCTATCAAAACTATATTCATTACCTGTCTTATCTAAGTTAATTTCTATTTTTAAGGAGATATCATCGAAGGATTATTACAACTTATGTTTTGTATTAAAGCTTCAGGATAATATTACATTTAAGCTGCTACATCTTACATGTGTTATACAGAAGAATATTACCTTTACCTAAAAATACTTATCATACCTACCTTAATTTTAGTGGGATTTGTTTCTCCTCTCTTTTATATCATCAAATTATTTATAAATAGAAATAAATTATGGACCTGTTAATTGCGTATACCTTATGGCTATCTATATGTTGAATACAAAGATAATTATTATTACTGGGAATTTGTGTGTTTCTTTATCAAATCTTTATTTTATCTATTAGAAACACTTTTGATCTAAGACATCAAACTCATGTTTTTATTTGCTATACTTATTCTCCTCATCTATTTAGAATTACTAAATAAACATAATCCTTATATTGAGAAATAATATAATTTTATTGATAAAATATCAACTTAATTAGCTATTGTCACTCTAATTTTGTCCTATAGTTAAGACAAAAATTAATATATCTCATTAGTTTATATTTTATCAATATTATGCTCTGTGCTTAATTTGTTATATTGTACATATATATTATCCAAAATTGTCAAAGAATATTTATCAAGTCTAAAGCAATAACATATTGAAAAAATTGTTAATCTAATGATTCGTTACCCTTGCGTTAAATATTGCATTAAAAAACCCTAAAATTATTATAGAAAAAGAAAGGCAATTTTACTTTGGAAGAAAGTCAGAGCATATGTGATGGAATTTATTGAAAAATTGAAATTGCAAAAATCAAACAATAATCTTAATTAAGATTACTAGATGTAATCAAGTACTAATAGACCAAATACTTCATCAACTAATACTTCTGTAAGTCTTCTTAATTCAATGGCACCATAATTATTAAAATACATGTATGATTAGTAATAATAAATAATAGAAAACATAATAAAAAAAACTCAAGATTATCCCCTGAAATGGAAAGTCGATCTTCTAAAAAGAACTTGGATTAGAATGACTTCAATAGTGTTGTATCAGCATATATAGATCCAAATAATAGTGCTGATACTGAAACACCATAACTTCCAAAAAAGAGTACTGTTTCAAGCATTTTTTCATATTTAGTAAACAATCATGGGTAAACCCCATTTTGAATTTAATTACTTAGTATTATTTATTATAATTAAAAATTTATATATTTTGAAGTGAAAATTATGGGATCAGATAGAAATCAGTTGAAAAAGTCTTTTTTTAAAAATAATAATAAATAATTTGATACTTTAATTAGATATAAAATTTAATAAATTGTTATAATTCGTAAATGAGTTTTTCAACAACATGTGATATTGATCATTGTAATAAAACTTTGCATAGAAAATTCAAGAGTTTACATTTAAAAAAACAATAAGATCCTCTCATAACAGATAAACCATTCAAGACTAGAACTCATGGACATTAATTTGAACAAAATTTTTCTCATTATCTAAAAGGTGATCTTAATGTTTCAAGTTTAATATAAACATTAAATTGTCCAAGGTTAACAGCTGAGAATTAATTTCCAAAAAAAGAAGTTTTATCATTAAAAATACGTCAGTAAACAGAATAAAGAAGAAACTATTTAAAGAGTAAAGTATAAAAAGTTCGTAATCTAATCAAAGAGAAAGTGGCAATAAAGAAACCCTATAATGAAGAAATTCGTTAAGGAAATGCTCAGACTTTAACAATAGTTTAAACTATATTGGACATAGCAAATCATAAGGAAAATGCAGTAAGTTATTAAGAAAAACTGATTCCAAAATCAAAGAGTCTAAAACATTATAGACTTAATTATGATAATGTAGAACCAATTTGTAGGATGCAAAGAGATTTTATAGAGACAATACCTCCAAGATAATATTTGAAATCAGTATTAGAGAATAATGCTTAATTGTATTTATAGGAATTGTAACTAAGAGCAGAATAGCATGAAAATAATATTAATAAATTAGTTCGTTTGAGTATATAAAATAAAAGGAAAGATTTTACTTTATTTCATAAAGCAGCTAAAACAGATAGAAGAAATTAAGATGGTATACTTACAATAGGAGATATACAATTGTATGATTATCTTTATAATAATCCCAAAGGTGTAAGGATTGAAGAGCATCCAAAATATATTTAAAATGTAATTGATACAGGAGTTGATTTTAGAAAGAATTTAGGTAGAAGATTATTATAAAGCAATCGTCATTAAAAAACACATTATAATTAAGATCCTCCTGAAAATTTAGATGATTCTTGTGCATCTTCTTTATAATCAGCTTGTGAGATTAAATTAGATAATTATTATGGAGAAACTAGAGAGTGGAAACGTAAATAATACTTATAATTGCCTAGACGTATAAAATAATTAATAGCTTTGGAAGAATTAAATTAGTATTTACTATTTTATCAATTAGAAAAGCCATTCACACAACAGTTAATAAGTTGTAATCTTAATGAACATATTCATGATGATAATTATAATTTAATTCTTTAACGATTTAATAATAATAGAATCAATTATTGTTCTTCTAAAGTGAGCATTCTCATTTTTAAATGCTAATCAATTTATGTTAATAACTAATCATAGATATTCTTCCTAATCTACCATCTTCTGATAACTGATTAACTCATATTCATGACTATTCCTATACTCTTTTATCAAATATTGTAACTTTAGAACCAAATTATTATCTTTAAAAAAAGCTCAAGGATTATAATGAAAGGAAAAGCATTGAAATTTATTCTAATAAAAAGGCTTTTGAATAATTCCATAAATGTGATTCTTTTAAAACTAACTCAATCTGAACATTAAATAGACAATTTAAGATCCAAAACTTCCTGATGTTGTTTAATTTAATGAAATTGTGAGGCTTAGGAATCAAATTAAATCATCTAATGTTAATATATCATTATTGACTTCTATTGATTTTATCGAATTAATTAAGTTAGCTTAAGCTATAACTACATCCTTAAGAGATTTATGATTATTTTTTAATTACATAAGCTGGTGAGTAACTTAGAAATGAAATGAAATAATAAATACACCAAGAACGAACTCGTAAATAAGTTAAAAAAAAAGACTAAAGACTCCCAGAACTTAATCGTTAAACAACTACTCTATTTATTGATACAGAGAGAGATAATATATTGTATCAAAAAACTTTGTCAGAGGTTGCTCTATCCAATCTTAATCGTGTAGCTAGTCTTAGTTTATTGGGTTAGAGGAGTAAAAATAAATTAGAAACTCATATTAGAGATGAGTTGAATCTTCCCAATAAATTTTAGTATTTAAATCAAAATCTTGACAAATAAATAAATAAGATTCTTTCAGATAAGGGTATATTCTACCTTATGTAAAAGATTTGAAAACCAAGAGAAAAAGACATCTTTTGACAGAGTTGAAGAGAATTGAAAAAAAAAGGACAACTTCCCATAATGAAGATGTCTCAATCTTTTCGTCATGCATAGAAGACTATGATAAGAATTAAAAGATGACTGCCATAATCAATGCAGAAGGTAAATTGGCTTAATTGACAAGAAGATATAAGTAAAAAGAATTAAATGATTAAAAATTAAAGTTGAATTTAAATATTAGTTTAGAGAAAATGTAAGAACGTAAAAATATGTTAATTAATGCTATAAATCCTTTGAGTCCTGTTTAGATGAGAATAAACTCTTAGAGATAATTTGATGAAATGTTCTAAGACAATTCTGAGGAAAGATTTCATGACAGATTATAGGAAAAACATGTGAAATAAATATGTTTAGTATGGAATCAACATTAATTTCCAAAATAAACTAAACGTTGGATGTAGTTTATTGAAAATGCAAAATAAAAGAAAAAATGATGATTTATTTTTAATTTCACAAAAAAATACTATTTTATCAATAAAAATTAGGTTTATCTTTTGAAATTTTGGCAGCATCCTCTTACAATTCACCTTCATTTAATTCAATTAATGATTTATTAAATTAATCAAGTAATTATTCTTCAGAAATAGCTTTTTCAATATTAGTTTCTTCTCCACTTTTAATAGCCTCTATTAAAGATAAACTAGTATTTTTATCATATTCAATCATTCTAATAATCATTTAATAAAGAAAGATCTTAGGATCTACCAACTTCTAAAATTCAGGATGTAACATAATGGATGTTTATAAAATAGAAAAGAAGGCATTGAACATCATATAAATTTATATTGCACATGGCCAATTAGCTAAAAAAGGCAACCAAAGTATTAATAAAAATTAACCAACATTACGTAATTTGGAAGGGAGAGTATCTTTATTTTCTGGAGTAATAAATCTCTACAGATTGTAATAATAACAAAGGACAGTTAAAGTTGGTACAATAAAGTAAGGATCCATGTTAGATAATGACTATAAGAATAAGATAATAAATAAAATACAGGTATCCATAAGAAGGCAGTATTTTTGAATGATTCATCAATTAAGAGTCTACGAATACTCCAAATTAAGGTAATAAGCATAGGTACATGAAAAACATTATATAGAAAGAGTCTCATCCATTTTAATCTTTAAGAGTGAACAATTTTATATGAAAGTCTAGCAAGAGTGAATAATTTTTTGGGTTTAGAATAATTAGTTTTATCAATGAGTCTTTTCATTTAAGCAATAGCAGGTATGACAGTAGCTAATCTAGTTGTTCTTTTCATTTATAAATATATTAAAGGGAGTAATGTAGATCTAGCAATTATACAAGTAATGCTTAAAACACCTACCCAAGGTATATGACAATCATGCAAATAAGTTAGTATTCCACTTCCAAAATCAACAACAGGATCAAATACTTATAATGGACCTGGTAATGATGCCATTATATCAGGATCAAAAAATATCAATCGATCAAAGAATGGTTGATTTTATTCTAAGGCTTCCATTTTTTATTAAATTTAAGGACTTGGTGCAATAGGACTCATTTATCCAGCATAAAATTTTGGTAAGTAATTGAATCTTGGGGTGAACCTTAAAAATTTAATCATTATATTTTAATATTAATATCGATTCTCTAAATTGGTTTAAAAAATTAAAACAATCGTAGGTGATCATCTATATCAACTTATTAAAAGTAAAATTTAAGTAGAACAATATACAGTTAATTCAATTCTATTCAAATATTGGAGATAAAAGAAATAAATTTTATGTAATTCTTAAAGAATTACTTAGAGTCTTCATATAAAATTAAGATTAATTGTAGGGAAGTAAATAATATACAAATAAACTTGATAAGCTAAAAATTTATATATCATAAAGCTCTATTTATATTGAGTATAAAATTTGATGGGATAAGAATTATATTTAGAAACTGTTGAATGTGAATCTTAAAATTGTAAACTTATGAATATTAATAAAAAAATAATTAATATCTTATATAGTTTATAGAAGATTCTACAATCAACAGGTTCTTTAGGAATTCTTAAGAAATGAAATAAACTTATTATAAAAAAAATATTTCAGAACATAGTTAAAAGAAAGTCTTAATCTTATTAAAATGAATAATAAAATTCATATGAACTTTTTGAATACATTATTTTATTAAATGGATTCTATATATTTTAGATAAAATGGTTATTAGATCAAATAAACATGTTATGTATTCAATGTTTAAGAGAAATAAACATTGAAAACTAATCGTTTGTTGGTCATTAGGAGAGAGAATAACTAAAATAAATAGTGGTTTAAGATTATCAAGTTATCATAAATGAATATATTTTTATATATATATTTTAAAAATTTAATGATTTAACTGTCTTCTGTAGAGAGAACAACGATGATTGAATTGTTTTCCACTTTTTTTGATCGCCTTAGTTCTCATAATCCCTAGAGAGAGCAAATGCTAAAATCTTTGTACTAATTTAAAGCATTACTATATGCAAACGATCCAGGAATAGAAAAATATTTACATGATTTATAAGGATAGAAATCTCCACTTAAAAGAGATAATTCATAAACTAAGAAATCTAGTAGTGTTAGAAAAGAACAAGAACCATTTATGCGTTAGACAAAAAGAAAAACTTTAGGATGCGGACATGAAATTGATATAGTAGATTCTTCTGGAGAATGTCTTGTTTGTGCAACATAATCTGTAAGAACTAATATTTTAAATAGCCTTTTGATGAATTTAAATCAAAATGTACAAATGTCTTTAAAGTTTTATAATCATTAGACAATGATGATTTCTTCAAAACTTTGTAATTATTAGATGTATATCATTTATTTTCTAATTAGGACCCTTTAACTATCTCTCTTTCCAAATAAAGATGTTAATCATCTACAGGTGAACTATTCAAAGACCCAATGAATTATTCTAGAATGGCATTAGCAGAATAGCAAAATAATGTTCAATAGATCATACGAAAATGTCTTCGCTGCAATAAGGATATCCAAAATCATGATTCCAAAAATATTAGTTACTTCTGTAATTCTTGCAAAAACTTTTGATTTACATTTATATTAGATTAGTTAAATATTAATTAATTAATTCAAATTTTTTTTATTTAAATTTTCTTTTATCATTTTGAGCTAATTGTATTTTCTCAAAATAAATTCTACTAATTCTTTTACTTTTTTTTTAATCTATATTTCTTATTTTTAAAACAATTAATCCATTATTTGAAAGCTTTATTGTTCACTTTTGTTTAAATCCTGAAAACTTTATGATATAATCAATATTATTTTAAATAAATGAATGCACTCAAAAAATGTTACTATTATTTAAAAAAACATCGCAAATTTAAAATAAAAAAACAAAATATACCCTTGATTTCGACTAGAATCAAAATTAATTAAATAAAATTTATCCTGTACTACTGAATGTCTATTTGATAATATCGTTACCGTGCCTCTTCAAAACCAAATTACAAATCATTTGCAATAAAAACACCCTCCAAATGAACTACAATAATAATTAAAAGAGGTATTAATTAAATTGTTAATTTAGTATTTAAGCATTAAAGTTAAAGAAGTCAGCTTAATAGCTTAAATTAAAAATTCAAATTTTCCAATACTTTATCGTAAGAAGAAAGATAATTGATTTATTATTTTATTCACCTTCACCATTATATTAATTCTTTTAATATTTTCTCCTGTTTGAAAAATTTGAAACTCTTAAGCTTTTTCTTTAAAGTTAACCTCAGAAAAAATAATTTCTATATCTATATTTAAAATTATTAATAGCTTTTAATCATTAAGTTTAGAGTGATTTAATTTATATTGAATTAACATTTCTAAAAATTAATTTATTATTATTTCTCATTTGTGATTAAAAAAATTAATGATTTAATTCATTTTAATTAGATCTTATAGTATAAGCCTTGATAAATTAGAAGGTTAATTAGAATGCTCAAAAATACTTATTAAAGTCTTTTTAAATTTCTAATTTCAAATCAATTAATTCTTTAAAAATAAAATAATAGAACCTAATTGGATAATTAAATAAAGAAAGAAGCAATACTAAAATGATAAAAAATATCAGGAAATTATGATATGTATAAAAAAATACTTCCAATATGTAATAAATCCATAAAATAAATTAGAAGTATTTATGCTAATTAAAAGCATTAACATGAATAAAGGTTTAATAGAGGTACTTTAGAATTCCTCTATTATAGAATATAATCAATTTAAAAAATGTACTTTAGATATTAAAGTATATGGAACTAAAATAGGTAAATTATATTTTTTAAAATTCCAAAGTTAAAATTTCCGAAAATGCTAATAGCATGCTTAAAATAAACACAAAAAAAATTATATAAAATGATTGAAATCAAAAGTAAAAAATTACTTTAGATTAATAAAAGTGTGTAATAAAAATAAAAAGTTTGTATTCTATCTGATAGATTAAAAATGAATTTGTTAATAAAATTTTTTAATGAAATTAATTATAATTATAAATTGTGATGTAAGAATTAGAAGAGCTATTATAAAAGCCAGAAATTTATCAAAATTTATCTTTGTTTAAGGATTTTTTAAAAGGTGTCAAGAAATTGTGTGATTAATTTGAGGAAAAAATTAAAATGATACCTAAGGAAGAATAAAACGAAAATGAAGATGATATAAAAAGGAAAAAGAGAATTGAAAAATAAATATTGAAAAAACAAAAACAGAGAAGTATACAGAAATAATAAATGACATCATAAAAAGCAGGTTAAAGTAATTTTTAAGATTTAAATAGCTAAAGGATCTTTTGAAATAGAGGATAGTCAGATTTAAAAATCAAGAGTAAGAATACTATTTATATTAATAGTAATTAGACAATGAAAAATTTGATATTTAATAACTTAATTAAGAATTCGAATTAGACTAAAATAAGAAAAAGCAGTAAAAAATTACTAAGGCCGATATAAAAAGAGAAGAAGAGGCTGAAAGAAGATTATAAGATGATGATTCTTTTGGTGGAAATATTGTATAAGAATATTCATGAGTTTATATAAGGAATTCGAAATTAAATTAATAAACAAAAAAAATAATTATTATTAGGGATCATATAAACAGATGTCTGCTTAAATGCATAATAGATAATATTAAATGTTTAAGCTTTTAATAAATTGTTCTTTAGACTCTTACACTGAATATAATTAACATCATCATGATCGCAATAATTTCGTCTAAAAAGGTCTTACATAAATTTATAATTTAAATGTAAACCATTTAAAATCTTTAGCTTTATTAAGGAACCTTATTATAGTTTGATTTTAAGTTATAACTATCAGAAATCTCTAATAGTCGTTCTAATATTGTTAAATATCTACAATAGAACAATTAAGCTTGAAATATCTCATTAGGTCTCTTATTCTCATTTTACATTTTTGAAAAATAAATTTGCAATTTTCTTATTCTAAACTTTCTAAAGTAATATGTACCTATATTAATGAATGAGTCAGTTTCATTAGATAAAGATAATGGTTGATAATAGACTAAAATGAAAATATTTTATTTAATAAGGGCTTGAAAGAATGTCAAAAAGTCTTCAGCTAATTAATTCAATGTCCATAATAGTTTGAGATGTTTCATAATTAAGAAATATCACTTTCTTCTATTTTAGAAAGAATTCAATAAAATAGATTATGTCACTGATTATTGAAGCTTTGAGATATTGACTATTATTTTGATAACAAAGAAACATCTGAATTTTACATCTTCTTATAAGACTAATGATTTATTTCTTTGTGGGATTCTTAAATATAATATAATATAATATAATATAATATAATATAATATAATATAATATAATATA